TGAAAGCAGACAACAGAACATTGCTAGAGAGTAGGAAAGGAGGTGAAAGAAGACAATTTTAGAGAAGACAATTTTTCGGTCGCTACCCGGATTCGAACCCGGGACCTTTGAATGAGAGGCCAACACCTTAACCTCTAGGCCACGAGAGCCCCCTTGATTTGGTTTACAATAGTAGTAGAGAGACGAGACCTAGATATAGGAATGATGCAGCCAAGTACTGACCATAAAAAGTTTGAATTTATATGTGTTTGACACACCCTTCAGCAAAAGTAGAATAAAAACCAAACCCTGGATGTCGAAAAATATTCTGGGTTACACCTAATGTGTTACTTGACAACGTAGGCCTACGTCAATGATGCTGCTTTCTTCGTGAAAACTTGGTTTCTAATTCACTTGAAATGCATACCCTGTATAGAGAACACAAAGTCCCTTCTCATCCTTCTTCTGTGTGCGTTGGAGGGTAACAAATAGGACCCGCTGCTCACCAACACGAGGGTCAACCTGTCGAAATATCTTAAGGATGACCTAATTAATTCTTAATGTAGTCCAACTAAGCACTTCTATATAGGTTGTATGCAGCCCAAATAAGCACTTTAACTATGTCGGCTATGTATAACTCAAAATGAGCACTTCCACTCTGTAGGCTATATATATATATATATATATATATATATATGTGTGTGTGTGTGTGTGGTCCAAATAAGCCTTCCTTTGTCTTAATAATATACACTTCAACATACATTAGCAGCCACTGTACCTGCAACATTTTTCCTTCTTTCCTTCCTTCTTCCTACTTCACAACTCTTATCAAATGGTATGAAAAGGCGTCACTGGAAAGAAGAACTTCTTTTTTCCTCCTCAGTTGTTTCTATCTGCTATCTTACCATTCCTTGTACCAAATAATCGCGACCGCGTAGAAGTGCTGCTCTTTTTTTCTTTCTCTCAAATGAAACACCGCGCTCCGTCTTCGAAATGACCAACATTTATGTCTAGCAAGACGATTGACTTTTCCAAAAGCACACAGAAGCAACAATAATAATATAAGAGTGTTCTGATTGTTTCGGGGAAGGTAGCAGTTTCAGAGCCTAAAGGGTTTCTAGGGGTTGATGGAGGCCACCAAAGTTAGAGGAACTGGGGGATGCTCATTTGTCTGTCGTCCGATTATCTCCTATAATTCGAATAGCGTCGACGGATGTTCATGCCAGATTGGCTTGAATTGATAGCTTTGTGGCTTCTTTTTGGCCGATTTTCTTAATCCAAGAAGGATAGTTTTTTAAAAATCTCGATCGATTTCGATTCTCGCCAATGTCTCGTGGTTGCTCCTTGTTGACCAGGATGTTTAACTTTTAGAAATGACTAAACTTCGTGTCATGGAGAACATTGAGGGTGATTTTTGACAATTACAATGGCGATCACGAATTTTACTGATCTTACCACGATCTCTCTCTCTCTCTCTCTCTCTCTCTCTCTCTCTCTCTCTCTCTCTCTCTCTCTCTCTCTCTCTCTCTCTCCCTCTCCCTCTCCCTCTCTCTCTCTCTCTCTCTCACACCCTCTCTCTCTCATTCTCTCTCTCTCTCTCAGTCTCTCTCTTCCTCTCTCTCTCTTCCTCTCTCTCTCTTTCTCTCTTTTTCTCTCTTTTTCTTGCCCCCCCTCTCTTTCTTTCTCCCCTGTCTCTCTTTATTTCTCCTTCTCTCTCTTTTCTCATTCTCTGTCTGTCTGTCTGTCTGTCTGTCTGTCTGTCTGTCTGTCTGTCTGTCTGTCTGCCCTCTTCCTCCCCCCCCCTGTATTTTTTATGGAAAGAAATATCTTCTTCACCAAGAGCTGGTGCAGAGATTGTTTCAAAAGTACTTTTAATCCAGAAACGAAACAGTCTAATGCTTTTGCAGCGCTAGGGCTGTAGTTTGGAACATTGATTCTTCGAGGGCAATCTTCTTTTTTTTTCTTTTTGTTTGTTTGTTTGTTAGAGAGTTAAACATCTAAAGTGTGCTACCGTTGCCACGTATCAGGGTAATACATATACTGTAACTCGAATTTGCAAGTATTTCAGGTAAGCTAGTCTTTTACATGTTTCTATGTCTATTTTTTGGGCGTCCTGTTCAGATTGAGTTTCAGCTGCTCGATCGTTTGTGGATTGTTTCCCCAGACTTTGTTTAAAAACAAACAAAACAACAACAACAAAAAAACAAAAAAACAACAAAAAAAAACCCAACAAAAAAACCCCAACAACAACTATAAGGTAATATTAGTGGAGGTTCAAGTAAGGGGAAAATGGTGACCATTTAACGTATTTGTGAACTTTTGGCTTATAAGGCGTTCCCCAAACTTTTCCTGTGGGTGCTTGGCTGGAGCTCTGGTGTGGCTGGCTCCTTTTTCCTATCAAAACATCTATCGTACTTATCTCTTATCCTGCTTTTTTGTGTTTATTACACTCTTGTAAAGCCTCTTATCTTAGGAAGGCGTCTTATATGACAAATTGTGTTGAAAGTTCGGTAAAACTCTCACAAAAAAACACACTTTTCCTGTAACCACGCAAGTGTTGCGCTGGCATCAGACCTCCTCAACAGCATAATTACTCTTTCTCCTCCCAGATAGATCCATCTGATGTGACGGATGTGGATTTTACAGGGGTTGTCCTGAAACCAAAACGGGCCCATTACACCCTTGTAGCTGAACGCTTTTAAGAGGTACTTTCAACTCAATTTGGCTAAAAAATTAAAAACCTCATAATTCTCTATCATGTCCACTGATGTTTTTCATACTGGAAAGTATGATGTCTTTTTGGTTGAAATTTATTTGTATGAAATTTGGTTAAAATTGGTGTAAAGATGATCGAGTTCTTGGCCTTTAAACACATCCTCTTTTTTAGTCATTCTGTATTAGGCCAAATCATAGCATAGGGGCCTTACACTTCTATGGGGATGGACCTGAAGCAAACAGCAGCCTCGCACTAGAGAGTTGGATGCCCCTTTATTAAAGATAACAAGAAAAAGATGATTATCTTAATTCTTGTTCTTGTTCTTGTTCTTGTTCTTGTTCTTGTTCTTGTTCTTGTTCTTGTTCTTGTTCTTGTTCTTGTTCTTGTTCTTCTTGTTCTTCTTGTTCTTGTTCTTGTTGTTGTTGTTGTTGTTGTTGTTGTTGTTGTTGTTGTTGTTGTTGTTGTTGTTGTTGTTGTTGTTGTTGTTGTTGTTCTTCTTCTTCTTCTTCT